GAAGAATATTTGGCTTAAGATCCCTGGTGCGAGAAAGTTGTTCCCTCACTGGATTGGGCCCTTCGAGGTGGTTCAATGAGTTGGTGCGGTAGCTCATAAGCTCAAGCTACCAGATACCCTTCAGATTCACAATGTCTTCCATGTGTCTCTGTTAAGCAAGTACGTTGCGGAAGGCAAGTACTTACCACCACCAACAATCGTCCTAAGGGAGGAACTGTACTATGAAGTCGAAAGAGTGTTTTTGCATCGTGATCGACAACGCGGCCGCAAGAGTGTACGAGAGTTCCTCATCAAGTGAAAAGGCTATGGGCCTGAACACAACTCTTGGGAGCCTGAAGAAAATTTGACTGATACTGCGGTTCATTCCTACATGGAAGACCTGGCTCAATGAGCACTCCCACAACAAGCGGATGGTGTTGACCCTGGTCGTAATGTGGTTTGTCGTGCTCGCAGCACTCGTCCTAAGAAGCACCCCACGGCAACGAGGACATTGCCAGCAGGAGGTGCTGCTAGGGGTGCTGCATCTAGGGATGCTGAGCCTGCGGGTGCGGAGCCTGGGGGTGCTGAGCCTGCGAGTGCGGAGCCTGGGGGTGCTGAGCCTGAGGGTGCGGAGCCTGGGGGTGGTGAGACTGAGGGTGCAGAGCCTGAGGGTGCTGAGACTGAGGGTGCGGAGCCTGAGGGTGCTAAGTCAGAGGGTGCGTAGTCTGGGGGTGCTGAGCCTAGGGGTACTGCGTCTGCCGGAGGTCATGCGGGTGCCTCGCCATGACATTCTCGCCGGCGGGAGCGTCTCTCACCGCGGCAGCTGCGCAAGTGGTTTGCTCGGCGCACACGCCTTAGGAGTGGCGCTGCAAGAGCTGGAGGCCCTGCCGCTGAAGGCACTGGAGCTGGAGGTGCTGGAGCTACTAGTCCTGGAGGTGGTGGAGTTACTGCTAGAGCTGGAGGTCCCGGAGGTGCTGGAGCTGGAGGTCCCAGAGGTGCTGGAGCTGCTGGTCCTGGAGGTGCTCGTACTAGAGGTACTGGAGCTGCCAGAGCTGGTGGTGTTGGAGGCGCTGGAGCTGGAGACCCTGGAGCTGGAAGCGTTGGAGCTGGAGGCACTGGAACTGGAGACCCTAGAGCTGGAGGCGCTGGAACTGGAGGTACCGGAGGTGCTAGAGCTGCTGGACCTGGAGGTGCTCGTACTAGAGGTACTGGAGCAGCCGGAGCTGGTGGTGTTGGAGGCGCTGGAGCTGGAGGCGCTGGAGTTGGAGGCGCTGGAGTTGGAGGTACCAGAGGTGCTGGAGCTACTGGTCCTGGAGGTGCTCGTACTAGAGGTACTGGAGCAGTTGGAGCTGGTGGTGTTGGAGGCGCTGGATCTCGAGACCTTGGAGCTGGAGGCACTGGAGCTGGAGACCCTGGAGCTAGAGGTGCTGGCGCTGGAGGCGCTGGAGCTGGAGGAGCTGAAGCTAGAGGCACTGGAGCTGGAGGCGCTGGAGTTGGAGGCGCTGGAGTTGGAGGTGCTGGAGTTGGAGACCCTGGAGCTGTAGGTGCTGGCGCTGGGGGTGCTGGAGCTGGCGGTACTGGTGCTGGAGGCACTGTGCATCGGCGACAGTTTTTCGTTCCCCCGTCGCCGTTGTCTCTGCCGCCACCTGGCTCAGTCCTTGGCCAGGTTCTTAGTCTCCCGTCTTCTACTGGCCTTACTCCTCCCTTACTGTGTCCACCGCCTCACGAGTCGCAGTCACAGTTACAGCTAGACTCCCCACTGCCTGCTCCTTCTCCTTACGCTGAGCAGACATACTCTCTTGCAGAGCGTTGTGAGCCTGCGTCTCGCCCTGCCTCGCCTGTTCGCGATGTTCGCACTGGTCGTCGTGTTCCTCGTCTGCGTCCTCCTCCTGTCCCCGGCACTCACATTATGGCACTTCGTCCTTCCTCTGTTCCACTGCAAGTTCCCCTGCCGTCTCCTCTTACGTCCTCTCTTGCTGACGGTCCGGACCCTGAGTCTGACTTAGTTCGTGCTGCCAGTCCTACTGTCACACATCTTCTAGCCACTGTTGTCACTGACCCTTGGTTTGAGTCCGCTGCTGCGTCTGCCCTAGTTGCTGAGCTTGTTGACTTTGGTGCCGCCTGTCGTCTCGACTACGCCACTAGTCTTGTTGCTGAGTCTGAGTCTGACTGTCCTCCGTCCGTCAGGGGTGAGTGTGCTCTTGGCACGGACGTCCTTGAGGACAGGTAGGAGGACTTTGAGTGTCCTGCAACTGCTGTACCTCATCTCGTGGCCATGCTGCTTGCACCTGAGCGAGACCCGGATGCACCAGACATCCCGACCCCGCGCTCTTACGCAGAGGCGATTATGGGTCCCTACTCCTCTTAGTGGCAGACAGCCATGGATGCAGAGATGGCATCCTGGAAGTCCACAGGCACCTACGTCGACGCAGTTCCCCCTCCCGGGGCGAACATAGTCGATGGCATGTGGATTTTCAGGGTGAAGCGACCGCCATGTTCTCCGCCTGTCTTCAAGGCCCGTTACGTTGCACGAGGCTTTAGTCAGCGACAGGGAGTTGAATTCTTCCAGACCTTCTCCCCTACCCCGAAGATGACCACTCTTCAGGTGCTGCTGCATGTCGCCGCTCAGCGTGACTACGAGCTTCACGCTCTTGACTTCAGCACAGCTTTCTTACAGGGCAGCCTGCACGAGGAGATCTGGCTGCGCCGCCCACCTGGCTTCACTGGGTCGTTTCCTGCTGGTACCTAGTGGAGCCTCCGGCGGCCAGTCTACGGTCTCCGCCAAGCGCCTCGCGAGTGGCACGACACACTGAGGATGACGCTTGCGGCTCTTGGGTTTGCTCCTTTGTCTGCTGACCCGTCGCTGTTTCTGCGCACCGACACTTCGCTGCCGCCCTTCTACATTCTCGTGTACGTCGACGACTTGGTTTTTGCCACTGCTGACACTGAGGCACTGGCCCTTGTGAAGTCGGAGCTGCAGAAGAGACACATCTGCACTGGCTTGGGTGAGCTGCGCAGCTATCTTGGCTTGCAGATTACCCGTGACAGAGCACGGTGCACCATCACCCTGACTCAGTCACACGTGGTGCACCAGGTCCTTCAACGCTTCGGCTTCCGATACTCCTCGCCACAGTCCACTCCTCTGCCTACCGGTCACTCGCTCTCAGCTCCACCTTCGGACGAGTCCGTTGAGCCGAGTGGCCCGTATTCAGAGCTTGTGGGCTGCTTCATGTACCTGATGACCTGCACTCAACCTAACATTGCTTACCCTCTTAGCATCCTGGCACGCTACGTTGCACCCGGGAGACACTGACCAGAGAACTGGGAGGCCGCTAAGAGGGTGTTGCGCTACTTGTGCAATACATCGGGCATGGGGCTCGTACTTGGAGGACGGGGTCCAGTTGTCCTCACTGGACACGCAGACGCGTCTTGGGTTGATGACTTGGCTACGCAGCGGTCGTCAAAGGGTTACACTTTCAGCCTTGGCTCCGGCTCTGTTTCTTGGCGGTCTACCCGTTCGTCTTCTGTTCTCAGTTCCTGTTGTGAGGCTGAGATCTACGCAGGGGCCATGGCTGGACAGGAGTTACGCTGGCTCACCTACCTGCTGAATGAATTGGGAAAGCGGCCTCGTTCTCCTCCAGTTCTGTACATAGATAATAAGGCCATGATTGCCTTGTGTCAGGAGCACAGACCGGAGCACAAGACGAAGCACATGGCTCTGCGTTACTTCCTTGCTCGAGAGTTGCAGCAGCGTGGTCAGCTTTGTCTTGCTTACGTGGGAACTTGGGCTAAGCACTGCTGATATATTCACCAAGGCACTTCCGCCTGGTGATCATCAGCGTTTTTGTACTATTTGAGGCCTTGTGCCTACTTTGCCTCACTTGCTCACTGCGTGAGTTTGCTTGTAATGTGATCTATATACATATACTTGCATGCTTACCCCTGCTAGGTTATGATCACTGTACTGTTTGTTCTCGTTTATAGAATTCTGCATGTGAACTGGCCTTGTGGCCCTTTGCTTGTGCTTAGAGTGTGTGGTTACTTTGTGATCCACACTTTGCTTGCTTTGCTTTTTCTTGACTGGTCTTGTGACCTCCTTTTCTTCCCCACTTTGCCTATGGGGGTGTGTCAAACTGTTATAACGTTTATATAGTGTAGGCTATAGCGGGGTAGCCAATAAGGGGTACAACCCAATTAGGGTTAGAACTTGTACCAACTTTCTTCCCAATGCAATTATTCCCTCGTCTAGTTTCTAACACGACTCTCCAATTCAAAGAGCAGGTCAAGGGAGCTGATACACTTTTTGTGGTACAGCTAGACTCTGAACCAACAACTTCACAGATTATTGAGGACTTCCCACCTCAAATGAAGGCGTTGGCAGAGGAATATTCTGAGATTTTTGAGCCAATTCCGGATCACTTGACTCTGGTGCTTCGCGCTCTTTCTTTAGAGACAGCACCACGCTCACGCCGCTCCGTCGGCCTGTTGCGGTCTCCCTTGCTGACCCCTCAGGGGGCCTAGTACTTGCACACTCCTCCACTGTCCTACCGTGTCCTGCGGCCCCGTCGGGCTTGCTGTCGGGACTCCACCTCCCCTCGTTCTCTACGAACCTGGTGAGTGGAGCTGACCTCCAGGACGCGTGGGTTGACCAGTTCACCCCTGGAGGTCAGCGTGTGACCCACTGCACTTGCTCTCGGACGGGCCGTCACCTGGCCACGTTCACCCGTCGGCCTGGGTCGAGTCTGTACACACTGACTACTGCGCCTCCTCCGGTCTCTGCGTCTGGTCAGGTAGCTGCGTCTAGTCAGGTGTTAGCTGCCGCATCCAGGTCTAGTCCTGCGTCTGCCCCCTGCTCGTGTCGTCCTTTGGCACACGAGACTCTCCTTTGGCACCACCGCCTTGGTCACCCCTCCCTGCCTCGTCTTCGAGGTATGGCCTCCCGTGCCCTTGTCTCGGGTCTACCCAGGTCCCTCCCTCCCCTTCCTCCGGGGCCTGCCCCCACCTGTGTTCCTTGTGTCGAGGGCCGGCAGCGCGCCGCCCCTCACTCCTCCTCGTTTCCTCCGACTGAGGCCCCTCTGCAGACTCTTCACATGGACGTGTGGGGCCCAGCCCGCGTCCGTGGACAGGGTCACGAGCGCTACTTCCTCCTGGTCGTTGACGACTACTCGCGTTACACCACAGTCTTCCCCTTGCGCAGCAAGGGTGAGGTCCCTGAGGTGTTGATCGACTGGATCCGCGGTGCTCGTCGCCAGCTCAGTGAGAGTTTCGGCTCAGACCTTCCGATTCTGCGCCTGCACTCGGACAGAGGCGGGGAGTTTTCCTCCGACCTCCTGAGGGCCTTCTGTCGTTCGGAGGGCATCCGCCAGACGTTCACGCTTCCGGCCTCCCCGCAGAAAAATGGGATTGCTGAGCGCCGCATTGGCATGGTCATGGACGTCGCTCGTACGTCCATGATCCATGCGGCTGCTCCCCATTTTCTGTGGCCGTTCGCGGTTCAGTACGCGGCGCATCAGATCAACCTTCAGCCTCGTGTCTCCTTGCCGGAGACCACACCTACTCTGCGGTGGACGGGGAAGGTTGGCGATGCGTTCGCGTTTCGTGTCTGGGGATCTCGAGCTTTTGTCCGCGATACTACTGAGGACAAGCTGTCCTCCCGTGCCGTTCCCTGTGTCTTCCTTAGCTTCCCTCCTGACGCACCCGGGTGGCAGTTCTACCACCCCACCTCGCGTCGTGTTTTGTCCTCTCAGGACGTCACGTTCGACGAGTCGGTGTCGTACTACTGTCTCTTTCCCTACCGCACTGCCTCTCCCCCCCCCCCGCCGCTCTTCCTCGCACCAGGTACTCCCCTGGTAGACCCCCTCCCCCCCCAGGGTCCTGCCCCCTCAGGTGTGTCCCAGGTAGACCCTGCCGAGCCGATCGAGGTAGCTGTCGACTCAGGTGCTGCTAGGGGTGCTGAGACTGGGGGTGCTGAGACTGGGGGTGCTGAGACTGGGGGTGCTGAGTCTGGAGGTGCTCTGGGTGTCCCGTCGCGGCGGGAGCCCCTCTCTCCACAGCGGCTTCGTGAGTGGTACTCTCGGCGCTGTCGAGGTGCTGCTGGTGCTGGAGCTGCTGGAGGTGCTGGAGGTGCGACAGGAGCTACTGGAGGTGCTGGCGCTGTTGGAGGTGGTGCTGGTGCTGGAGCTGCTGGAGGTGCTGGTGGTGCTGGAGCTGCTGGAGGTGCTGCTGGTGCTGTAGGTGCTGGAGGTGCTCCTGGAGCTACTGGAGGTGCTGGCGCTGCTGGAGGTGGTGCTGGTGCTGGAGCTACTAGAGGTGCTGCTGGTGCTGGAGCTGCTGGAGGTGCTGCTGGTGCTGTAGGTGATGGAGTTGCTACTGGAGCTACTGGAGGTGCTGGTGCTGCTGGAGGTGGTGCTGGTGCTGGAGCTGCTGGAGGTGCTGCTGGTGCTGGTGCTGGAGCTGCTGGAGGTGCTGCTGGGACTGGAGACCCTAGGGCTGAGGGTACCGGTTCTGTCTCTGCTGTTTCTCGAGGCGCTGCGCGGCCGCGGCCGTACTACGTTCCCCTCCTTCAGCAGGTTCTTGGCTTCCCGCCTTCTCCTGGTCCTCCTCCTCCTTTCCTTAGTCCACCGCCTGTCCAGTCTCAGTCGCAGTTGCAGCCGGCCCCTCCCCTGCCTGGTCCTTCTCCTTACTCTGGTCCGACTAGAGGTCTTACGGAGCGTCGTGAGCCTGAGTCGCGTCGTGTGTCGCCTGCGTCTCGTTCTGCGTCGCATGTCCGCACTGTTCGCGCTGGTCGTGTTTCGCGTCCACGTCTTCCACCTGTCCCAGGCACTCACTCTATGACACCGCGTCCTTCTACTGCTTCACATCGTGTCCCTCTGCCCTCTCCTCCTGCGTCCTCTCTTCCTGACGGTCCGGACCCGGAGTCTGACTCCCTTCGTGCTGCTAGTCCTACTGTCACGTGCTTTCTGGCCACTGCTGTCACTGACCCTCTGTTTGAGTCCACCGCTGCGTCTGCTCTTATTGCTGAGCTTGTTGACTTTGCTGCAGCCTGTCGCCTAGATTACGCCACTAGTCTTGTTGCTGCGTCTGCGTCTGTCTGTCCTCCGTCCGTCGGGGGTGAGTGTGCTCTTGGCACGGACGTTCTTCAGGACAGACAGGAGGACCTTGAGTGCTTTGCCGCTGCTTCACCTCATCTCGTGTCCATGCTGCTTGCCCCTGAGGGAGACCCGGATGCACTAGACATCCCGACCCCGCGCTCTTACGCAGAGGCGATAGAGGGTCCCTACTCCTCTCAGTGGCATGCAGCCATGGACGCAGAGATGGCTTCCTGGAAGTCCACAGGCACCTACGTAGACGAGGTTCCCCCACCTGGGGCGAACATCGTCAGTGGCATGTGGATCTTCAGGGTGAAGCGGCCGCCGGGTTCTCCGCCTGCCTTCAAGGCGCGTTACGTTGCACGTGGCTTCAGTCAGCGACAGGGAGTTGACTTCTTTCAGACCTTCTCCCCTACCCCGAAGATGACCACTCTTCGGGTACTGCTGCACGTCGCTGCTCAGCGTCACTACGAGCTCCACTCGCTTGACTTCAGCACAGCCTTCCTGTTATAGTCACAATAGGCTTGAATGTGCCTAAAACGAAAGATAGAGAGCACAGACGGATTTCTGCACAGCGGCTTCAAACGTTGATAGCGTTCTGCTCACAGCTGCAAATGACTTGATTCAAATTGGATCTGGAGCGTCTTTACGTCGTCTACAATTAGCAATTTAGATTGCACGATTTGATAAAGAGTTGACGACACAGCGTCGGTTTGAACGAACGGTACTATGGCAGCCACTATAGTCTTAGAACACAAGATAGGAAGAGTTACGAGTTGGGAATGACTCCCAGCTCCTACAAACCCCAAGAGCCGAGGTACAGTGATGTGGAACAGTGCCACACTGTCCCCAACCACGAAGGGTCTCGAAACTACCCTTCACTAGGGCCTACACCAAGTGAAATGTTACACTACACAAAGTAATGTAACTATCTTCAATATCTTGAGGTGTACCCTTTTGGCAAGCTTCGAAATCACTTGAGGCTTGACACCAAGGCTCGGGCTCTTCATCACAAACTCATCCTTGAGTTATTGATGGGTCTGCTGCACACACCTGCGACACGCCGAACGTTCGACACAGGACAAAATAGAAACCGCGCACGACAAAATAGAAACCGCGCGCGAGACACAAACGACCGCGTAACACGCGTCTAGCGATAACTCGCTATTGACTCGACACACACACTCGACATCATGACTCAACATTCACACACAATTATAAGCATGAAATATATATTATCCCATGCCCTCATACCATTCCATACACACACACATTCACGCACACGGACAACAAGCCGAGTGCAAACCGTAGGGTTGCACCAACAAACTCCCCCTCGGATTGTTGGCCTTAGGATATGTTGCTCTCTCAGTTCAGAGCCATCCCAGCCAGCTTGCAACACTTCCAATGCTGCTGCTCCACCAGCCTCTTGGTCATCATGTCAGCCGGCTGCCCCGTGGTCTTCACGTAGCGCAACTCAACTTCACCCGCGGTTACCATGCTCCTCGTCCAATGCCACTTCACCCTCATGTGCTTCGTGAGTCCATGCAACACAGGGTTCTTAGCAAGAGCAATGGCACCCTGGCTGTCACAGTACAGTGGGGTAGGTTCTTGCTGCTCCTCCCCCAATTCAGCCAACAAACGCCGCTGCCACACAATCTCCCGTACGGCACGGAAGAGTGCCATGTACTCGGACTCCACCGAGCTCAAAGCTTGGTCAACCTGCTTCTTGCTCTCCCAAGCAGTTGGGCCTCCACCAACACAGCATATGAAGCCTCCCACACTTGTCATGTCCTCTGGTTCTGATGCATATGAAGCATCCGAGTAGGCGGTGAGGAACAAACGCCCGGGTTCAACACCATCCGCGCCCTTTTGGCGCCTTTGTGCCGCCGCCGAGTATTGCAGCCCAACGGTCGGTGTTTGGCCAAGATACTTGGCCACCCTCATTCCAGCTGCTACCTGCTCCTCATTAGGGCATTGCACAACCCTAGCCAGCTGCCCGGTAGCAAACGCGACGTCCGGTCGGGTGTTTACCGCCGCATACATGAGGCTGCCCACCAACGAGTGAAATCGGCGCCTCTCCTCTTCACCAACGCTCTCCTCCGCTGGTCCCTTCACACACTTGAACCCAGAGGGAAAGGGTGTAGCCACATGGCCTTCACTCTGCCCAAAGTTGGCAGCCAATGCCTCCAGGTACTTTCGTTGATGCACCCGCATGCACCGCTTCTCCACATCTCGTTCGATGTGGAGCCCAAGGTAGAAGCTCACGTCACCAAGGGCCTTGCACTTGAACTTGTCTTGAAGCTTCAGCATCACCTCCTTCACAAGGTCAGAAGAGGGTGAGAAAATGAGGATGTCATCCACATAAACCACCATGAAACTCCTCTGCTCCCCCTCGCCAAGCATGAACAAGGAGTGATCGGCCGTTGAGGGAGTGAAGCCGATCCCCTCCAACACTTCGCGCAGCTTCATGTACCATTGCCTAGGGGCCTGCTTCAGCCCATAGAGGGCCTTCTTCAGCTTCCACACTCTGCCACTACCATCATCAAACCCCTCTGGCTGCGCCATAAAAATCTCCTCCTCAAGGATGCCGTTAAGGAATGCCGTTACGATGTCCATTTGCTTTACTACCCATCCTTTGATGGCGGCTCCCGCGAATAGGGTTCGCAGCGTCGTCGGCTTCACCACAGGGGCAAACAGCTCCTTGAAGTCCACCTTCTCCTTCTGCTGGTACCCCTTGGCTACAAGCCTAGACTTGTAGCGCTCGATCTTGCCGTCGGCATCCGACTTGATTTTGAAGAGCCACTTGGACGTTATCGCCGTACGCCCCTCCGGTAGCTCCACCAATTCAAACGTGTCATTCTCCTCGATGCTCTTCAGCTCACTCTCCATGGCCTTCTTCCACTCCTCAGCATCACTACTCTCCAAAGCCTCCTTGAGAGTTGCTGGTTCTCCCGGCATCTCCACCGGAGAGAAGAACGCGAAGGCACACTCCTCGTAGTCACTCTCCTCGTCGTCTCCGACCATCATTGCCGCTCCGGCCAGGGCTGTCTTGCCCTGCTTTCCCGGCGCATCATAGGTCAGCCTATTAGGGGGTTGAACTCTCCTCTTCCCCCTTCCTTCCTCCTCAGCTGCAAGGACTTGAAGGCCTTGGCGTTGCTGCGGTGTGGCTCGCATCCGTGGAGCACTCGTAGTACGGGAAAGGAGTGACGGTGCACGCTCGCTCACTTGCTGCACCTCCTCCTCTTCTTCCTCTGCATCATTGGCCTCCTCTCCCCCATTCACAAGGGAGGATTGCCTTGTGGTTGTGCTGCCGCTGCTCAGCTCCAAAGGCAGCTCCACATGCTCCAAACCGGAACTCTTCACCTCCCCAAACCGCACGCCTATCTTCGCCTCATTCTCCGCCTTCCAATCCTTGTACATGAAGTTCTCCATGAACTTGCAGTCCCTGCTCACCAAGAACTTCTTGGTGAATGGGTCCCAAAGAAGCCATCCCTTGCTGTTTTGAGCCATGCCCAAGTGCACGGCCCACACCGCCTTGGCACCAAGCTTGTTGTGCCGAAGATGCTTAGGCACGAGCGCCATGCACATGCACCCGAACACCCGAAGCATATCCACCTTTGGCTTCCTTCCTAGCCACTCCACATAGGGCACCCATTTGTCTGCTCCCACATGAGTCAAGGCTCTGTTCTTGGCCACACACGCGCTCCGCACCGCATCAGGCCAGAAATAGTCGGGTAGCCCGGCTTCAATGAGCAACCCGCGTGCCGCCTCCGTGATTGTGCGGTTCGCTCGCTCGGCGATGCCGTTCATTGCAGGGGAGTATGGCATGGTGAGGGAGTGCCGAATACCATTCTTCTTCAGCCACAACCCAAACTCCTTGCTCAGGAACTCTCCCCCTCGATCGGTGCGGATTGACTTGACTAGACGGTCTTGTTGCCGCTCCACCATCGGGAACCAATCCGTCTTCAACGTTTCAGCCACGTCGCTCTTCTTGGCCAGCACGTACACCCAAGTCATGCGGGTGTAGACGTCGACAATGGTGAGAAAATACTCAGCTCCAGCAGCTCCAAGCTTCAGGGGGCCCACCACGTCCATCACCACCTCATCAAGCGGTGCCTTTGCCGTTGCCTCCGAACTAGGGAACGGAAACCGGGTGAACTTGGCTTGAATGCACGTCGGGCAGCCAAGCACCTCATCGGGCTCCCCCTTCACACGTATGCCAGCAACCATCTCATTCTTTACTAGCTGCTGCAAGATGGGCAGGGCCACATGCCCCATGCGCCGATGCAAGGTGAGCCAATCACACTCCCCCGTAGCCGAAGTTGGATTGGAGAATGCCGCGCTCGCAATAGCGCCCCACATACTCTCTCCGTAGTCCTCCTCCGCTGCTGCCTCTGGGTTCTCCTCACCCTTTTGCTGCTCCTTGGTTGCTGCACCACTCTCCTTAGGTTCACTGAACTTGCTGGTCCCTCCAGGTTTGCTCTTCTTGAGCTCATTCTCCTTAGCGCGACCGTTCGCGCCATCGTCGCTACCGACCGCTCCATCCTTGGTGCTGATGCTTGCTGCCACTTGCCTCTCCTTAGGCATAGGGACCACTGGGATCTGCCACATCTCGTTGTAGACATCCCTGTCCTCATGAAGGTCCCAAAGAATTCGATCGCCAAGCCTTGCGGTGTAGGTCTTGGCTCCCTTCGAGTTCGTGTCCATGCCGGCCTTTGCCAACCGCCGCACGGAAATCAGGTTTGCAGCAAGGCTGGGCACCCAAAGCACGTTCTTGAGGCCCACCATCTTCCCATCAGCACCCTTGAACATGGCCTTGCCCATGCCTTTCACCTCTGCTCGCTGCCCCAAAGCCGATGTGACATGCTTCACCGGTGACGGCTCGAGTTCGGTGAGCAAGTCTGGGCGAGGTGTCATGCTATAGGTAGCGCCACTATCAATCACCCAATAGTCCAGGGGGTGTAGGGTCACCTTCCCCACAGCTGCTGGCTCCTCAAAGCCTTCATCCTTCTCTGGACCAGCCGGTACTTGCGTCGACACGAAGTAGAATAGACCCGGGTATCGATCGTCGCTCGGGTCCTTGTCGTTGTCTCCGCTCTTCATGTTTGCAGCTCCGCCACCGCGACCGCCACGGCCTCCACGGCCTCGTCCTCTCCCTCCTCCTGCTCCTCTACCCTCTTGGCCTTGAGCAGGGGTCCAACCATCAGGGAGTTTGTAGCAGTCGCGCCACATGTGTCCGCTCTTGTGGCAATAGTGACACTCGCCGTCGAATCGGCCGCGACCGCGTCCGTAGCTCTTGTCGTCGCTGCCGTAACCGCCACTCCTGCGGCCTCCGCCGAAGTTGCTGCCACCAAACCTTCCTCCCCCTCGTCCTCTGCCTCTTCCTCGACCATATCCACGGCCGATGCTCGCTGCCCCAGCGCCATCCGCACTCGCCAACTCACGGCGGCGGAAATCCTCTTGAAGGATAGCTCGCTTCACGTCTTCAAGCGAGAGGCGGGGCAAGTCGCGAT